TTTCTGCTTATTAGATCCCCGCAGCAGGATTTACTGGGTTAAGGAGCATGAACATTTTTTAAGGCCTTTAAAACAGATTTTGAAATTGCTTTCTGGAAAGCTTACCCACTTTACCCTTTACCAACGGGACAAGAGCGTGCCCATTTCTGAAAGCCCTTGCTAAGTACCAAGTACCACTCCTTCTCTTTAAAAACCCAAGGGGGTTTCTCATGACCTGGGTGTGCCCACGGCAGCCCTATTCTGCAAAGTCTGTTGCTTTTTTTTTTTTTTTTTGGCTGTGAAGCCTTGTTTGCCCTCGGGAAGTCGGGTACAGAGAGCTGCACACGAGGTCAGACCCTCTGACCAGCCAAGGACAGGCAGCCGGCCATTCCAGAGCCCCTGTCAATGCACCCCAGGCCTCGGCTTCCTACGCAGCGCCTCTGCTGAATCTGTGGCCCTCTGGGTCAGGGTTGGGGAAGGGTTGCTGGGTGTAGCCATCCCTGGCCTCCTGGTCACGGGCCAAGGGGCCCTTGGGACCCTCCCCACTGCGTTAGTCTGGTTCTTGCTCCCTCTCATTGGCYCATTCATTGGTCCACTCCCGGATGCATGGACCTGGTGCCCATCTGGTGAGGCACTGTTCCAGGCTCTGGAAATTCATCGTCATTCCCCGTCAGCGCAGCCTCATGGCGCTATGCAACCCCTTACCTCTTCAGCTCCTCCACCAACCCTCCCTACTTAGCGCTGTTTTCCAAACTTCCGTGTTGGTGACAGTGCCTGGGATGAATGCTAAACACCCAGGCTGCGGGGACTGTCCTCTGGGAATTCTGAAGTGTCCACCTGGATCGGTCCCCAGGCTTTGTATGCTGTTGTGTTGGTTCCAGATGATTCTTCTATTCCGGCAAGTTCCGGAGCAGGTGCTGAAGGATCTGCACACACTGACCTCAKGTGTGGCCCATGGAGGAGCACCACGCTCTCCCGGGCAGCCCAACACCCTCCATCCCAATGGGCGTGCCCCACGGGGCCTCTCAGCCTCCAACTCACCAAAACTAATTACAGTTTTGTTTTTTTTTCTGATTCACAAGTGATTAGTTTTAATTTGGGGACAATTAGAGGTAGAAGCAGGAGGTATCTGATCTTGATTAGAAGCAAAGAGATGGCCAGGGCACCAGCCTGCCTGGCCCCCGMCTCTGTGAAGACCCATCTATGTGCTCAGGAAGGTGAGGGAGGGGCCTGGCCTCTGCACGCCCCCCCCCCCCGGGAAAAAGCTCATCCGGCAGTGGCCAGAGGGACCCATATGTCCCAGACAAGTAGGACCAGCCTGAGATGAAGGAGAAGGGACTCTGTCTACCCACTGGCCCGAAGCTGGTACCCCCAACCTCATAAGTAGATAGAGTTGACATTTATTAAGCACCCACTGTATGCCACCCCTGGTTCTGTGCGCAGCGGACTCAGCTCCCGGGTCACCCATATCCGGGTCCACTTGGAAAGGCCACGGGAGAAAAGCAGGTTTCTGCCTCCTGGAGGTGGACGTGGCTGGAGAGACCTGTGCACTGCAGAGGGGCTCACGAGCCAGCGTCCCTTGCTCTTTGGTCATTTGCCTCTCATCCGCACTGGGGCCATGCCCCTGATGTGTCCAGGCCAGAGCTACACAGAGCACAGAGCTGCAGGGAGAAGAGGAGCCATCTCCCTGGGAGGTGACATGAGAGGAGCTTCCGGGGGAGGGGACCCCACCCCGTGCTGGGCATGGAAAGAGACAAGGACCCCACGCCCACCCCATGCCCAGTCCCCTCTGGGGTCCAGGTGGATCGATGCCTTTCTACCCCACCTGCAGATTCATTCCTCCGTCTCTTCTGGTTGTGGGGAGGACAGAGCTGGCAACGCCTGTGCGGGGAGAGCCACTTGCCAGCCATAGTTCTGGCAGGGTTCCAGGGTGATGGGGAGGGCTGGGAACCTCAGTCATCGCTACCATTCCTCCACCATCCTGGTGCCTCCGTGTCTCACTGGGGAAACTGAGGCCAGCCCCCATGTTTGCTGGGTCAGCCACCATAACACAGYGCCCCAGGCTGGGCAGCTGGCTGCAGTGCGTCCTCACTCTCCAGAGGCTGCAGCCTGAGACCAGGTGTCTGAAGGGCAGCTGCTGGCCAGGGCCCTCGTCCTGTCTGCCCTGCATCTTCTCATCATCTTCCCTCCCTGTAGACCTGCGTCCTAGACCCTGGATCAGGGGCCCCTACAGCCTCCCCTTAACTCCATTCCCCGCTAGAGACCCCATCCCCAAATACAGTCCCATTCTGAGATACAGGGCCTGAGGACCTCAACACAGGGGGACACAGCGGAACCATGAGACCCCCTCAGGAGCCAGAGAAGACATGAGAAGTTCCTTCAACAGGAGATGGCACAGGGGAGAGGGTCGGGTGGGTGGGAATTCTCAAATGATTCCCCGAGCCCTGAGGGGCAGGCGAGGGCCAGTATGTGTGTCCATGTTTGCAGGCTCCCAGCCAGGCTGGTGAGGGGCAGCTCCTGTGTTGAGTGTGTCCAAGGTGGGTCCAAGCTGTCACTTCCACCACCATCACCCTACCCTGCCACCCGGCTCACCTCTAAAGCACCTCTCTCTCACCCACCTCCCGGCCTGGCCTGACCTTGGTCTCGGTGTTATTGATCCCCCACTCCCACCCCACATCCGAATTCCTTCTGGGAACCTTCCAGCAGCTTCTCCTCCCCAGGCCCGTGCGTGCTGTGCTCCAAGATGTCCAGAGATCAGGGTCGTATGCCTGTTAGCCAGCACACCCTTAGTATCTCAGAAGTTGACCTACTGTGTGATCTGCCRCCTCCTCCCGTCTCACTTCCCCCTCTCCTCTGGTCACACCAGAGTGTTTCCAGGGCTACCCACGCTTCTAGGGGAAACGGAGGCTCAGAAAAGTCAAGCAACTTCCTTTTGACTGCAGGGAAAGCAGAGATTAGTGCCAGGGTGCCCACRACCCACCTGGTTCCAAGCCACAGAGGAGACCCCAGGGCCCAGAGGACGGAGTGATTCTGAGTGGTGATGGGCAGGGGTGCTGTGTGTCCCAAGGACATAAATTCAAAAATTGTAACACTGTCATTTTCTGGTGCTCCTTTCTGAATGCTGGCTGTTTGCTTGATCTAGGTACTATCCCTTCCCAGACTCGATTTCTCATCCACAAGGTGGCCGAAAGGCTACTAGAGGCACTCCTAGGTTTAGTGGCCGTCTGCTTTCCTCTTGGATACCTCAGGGACAAGGGACTCATGACCCCACAGCATCCCRGTCAGCGTTGGTTTCAACAAATGCTGATGAGGGCCCACTAAGTGCCAGGCCCTGTTCTAAGCCCTGAGGCAGCGCAGGCAGGAGGCGGGCGGTGTGTGCATCCCTGGGGACACTGTCTAGTGCACAGGAACCACACGGGCTCACTGTGTAAAGTTAGAGGGCAATAAATTCTATGAAGAAAATAAATCAAGGAAGAGGATGGAGAGAGACCAAGGGGGGTGGGACATGCTACTGTAGATGGGACGGCCAGGACAGATGGCGCTGAACAAAGACAGAGAGACAGGGAGAGAGAGGAGCGCTCTCAGGCAAAGGACACAGCACATGAGAGGCCCGAGGCGGACACATTTGCTCAGCAGATTCTGAGAACAGCAAGGATGGGTTGAATCATCCAGGACCTTGGTTTTCAGACCACTTCTCTCCCCAGGAGGTAGATACGGACATGCAAACACGGTTCCCCAATCCCTTCCTTCACGCCCCTCTGAGTCTGGTGGCCATCTGGTGGCCTCTGCCCCCACGGTGCCTTCCAAGGAGTCCAGATGGTCCACCGTGAAGTTGGGCTGGGGAGAGGGGCAAATGGAACTAAGTGCCACTTAGTAGCCTCTGGGGTCTCCTGGGGATAGCCAACGAGGGCAGGGTCACTGTTCCTCCACTCCTTCACTCCAGCCTGTCTGGCTCTCCCTGTGCCCTGAGCACTCACATTCTCCTGGCCACAGCTGCCCTTCTCCAAGTCAGAGGGACAAGCATGGTGGACTATCCCTGCCTCAGGCCCAGCATTCATAGGCCCTGGACACTCCCACCACATGAGTGCCTCATTCCCCCCCCCGCCCCCAGGGCTGCCTGACCACTCACAGAGCCTGTCCTACCCCTGGGTCTGTCAGCCACTRTCAGCATCCCCATGAGGTGGGCGGGGCTCACGTGACCACTGAAATTTTAGAGATGGAATCCGAGGCTCCAAATGGGAAGGAAGGTGCCCAGCGAGTGTCCTCAGTCCCACAGCCCATTTCCCTGCGTCCTCCTGCTTTGATTGACTTCTATGACCTGGCTTGGGACACTATTCTGGATGTCCACGAGCCCACCTTGGGGCAAGTCCTCCCAGGCTGCAGGGAMATGTTCTGAGATTCCAGATGCCAATCAGGAAGGTTTTTGGTGTCTCTGCCAACATCTTCCTCATCTTGGACTCCACTGCCCCACTTCCACCCCGGTGGCTCTCTGCCGGCTRCATAGCATAGCAGGAAAGAGTGGCCTGGACACGGAGGTCTCCTGGGAATGCAGTGAGACTGTCTGGTGGCAAAAGCACGGGTGCCCAGAGGACCAGGGACCCGYGTTTCCCCAGTGGGTTCTCAGGGCTGCTCATGAGGACCCTTAAGAAGGAGTGGAGARACCAAGCACCTCTCCTCCTACAACCGACCCCAAGGGCCTTCACTCAGGCCAATTGCCTTATTTTGTTGAATGAGGAGATGAAACTGCAGATTTTCAAAATAGGAGGGAGAACCCGGACCCTCAAGTGCAGGGAATTTTTAGCTCACTGCTTTCGGGAGGAAGTGGGTGAGAATGTTTGTGAAACGATCAAGGTTTCAAGGACAGTGATAAAATGATAAATATACGTAAGCTCCAAGACAGTCTGGCGCTGACCAGGGGTCTCCCCTTTGAACAGAGATGGCTCAGAGGAGATCAGCYGGGATTTGTTGAAGCCTTGCTTGATGCCAGACCCCATAGACAATCAGCTCCCACCCAACACAGGATGGGAGAGGACCCTGGAGAGAAGGGCAAAGCTCTGAGTGAATTCCCAGAGTTGAGGCACATCCTGAAGGGCTTCCTGGAGAAGGTGGCATTGGAGCTGGGCCTGGAGGAAGATTCCGACTTGAATAAGGAGAGTGTTGGATATAGAGGGCTCAGCATGAGCAAAGGAGGGTCCATAAGGCCACATGGAGGATGCAGTAAGGACACTCAGTTACCTGGTTGTCCTGCTGGAGGGGCTCAAGAAAGGGAGTCCTAGGGGAAAGAGGGTCCTGGGTCTACAAGTAGAGGGCCCTGTGAGGTGGTGTGGGCTTTATCTTGTAAACCTACAGGAGAGATTCCTTAGGGACACCTCCCCACGTTTGCATTGTGCTGCACAATTGATAGAGCATCTCCTTATCGGATTTGCAAACGCAGAACAAATAACAATAACCAGCATGATTATCATCCTGATTTCAAAGTTGACAGATGTGACTCAGAGAGTTTATGAGAAGATCCAGAAAAGGATCTCCAACTTCAGGCCTCCATTGTAGGTCCTACCTGTGCCCTGACACTGCCACCATGTTTTGAGACAGGAGTGAGGGTCGCTAAGGTCTGGCCTGTCCAGGAGGAGGGCGGCTCTGGCTGCTGTGGTAGGGGAGGGGGGAATGTCAGGATGCCAGAGAGGAGGAGAGAGGGGGTGAGGGGAGACCCAGTTAGGCATTGCAGCAGGAGTGAGGCCTGACCTGGGGCAGGGTCCTGGGGATGCAGGGCAGAGGACAGTCCAGGACAAAACAACTGGCCAGCAGGCAGAATTGCTAGAACTTGGCAGCTTCTCGTTAAATGGGGCGCAAGGGTTGGGAGAAGGGAGAAGCCAAACACAAGACCCACGTTTAGGTTTGGGAGACTGAAGACAAGATTCCCTGTGTGTGTGATAAGAGGGAACAAGGGGAACTAGGGGGTCCCTGGGGACCCCTACATCATCTGAGACTGCTGGTGCAGTTAAGGACTGGGGCTTGAGAACCAAGTAACCTCAGGTTCAAATCYTGCTCCTGGCTCTTTTGCCCAGGCAAGTTGGGTAAGTTATTAAAGTCCCTGTCATCTTTGTTCCTTTATCTATAAGATGCAAGTGTAGGTACTCAAAAAAAAAAAAAAAAAGTTATTGTCAGGAAAGTGATTGAGTGGATGGAAATCATAACATTGCCCACCTCCAAGGACTGCAATGGGGATCAAACAAGCCTACACTGGCCGAGCCCGGAGCGCTGGGCACAGAGCCCAGCATTCAGGGAAGAGTTACACTTCCTGGGCTCCAGAGCTGGGCTCAGCCCTGTAGGCACAAGACTTCAGAAGGTCCTCACCAGGCACTTTGAGGCAGAAACAATTTTGAGGCTCATTTGGCAGGTCTTGAGGTTTCCAGAGCACCAGGGGAGGCAACTTCACCAAAGCTTTGCAAGGCTTTGTGATGGGATGGGCTTTACCCTGAGGCCCAAGAGGAAGAAAGGAAACATGGGCAAGAGGGTTATTAACAAAGAACAAAGGTGGGGCCAGGCTGGGTGCCTGGTAGCAGGGCCCTGGACCACCAAAGACAGTGGACCAGGCTGTCTGTGGGGGTGAGAGGTAGGCAGCCAGGGGCTGGGGTCCAGCTTGCCTCTCCTAACCACTCTGGGTCTCTTTGCGCTCTGTCCTCAGCCTCCAGCCGCTCCCACCCTGCCAGTCCCAGCCCACCCGGGCCTCCGGCCAGCCCGGTGCTGCCGGTCAGTTACCGCCTGTCGCACACACGTCTGGCCTTCTTCCTGCGGGAGGCGCGGCCCCCATYGCCAGCAGTGGTCAACGGCTCCCTGCAGCGCTCCGAGCCCTTCGTGGTGTTCCAGACCAAGGAGCTGCCGGTGCTCAACGTCTCCCTGGGGCCCTTCAGCACCAGCCAGGTGGTAGCACGGGAGCTGCTGCAGCCCTCCAGCACCCTGGACATCCCCGAGCGCCTGACGGTCAACTGGAAGGTGCGGGCCTTCATCGTCCGCGCCCGGGTGCCCGCCTCGCAGCCCGTGGCGCAGGTGCTCTTCTACGTGGCCGGCAGAGACTGGGATGATTTTGGGGTCACCGAGCGCTTGCCCTGTGTCCGCCTGCACGCCTTCAGGGATGCCCGGGAGGTCAAGAGCTCCTGCCGTCTCAGTGGAGGCCTGGCCACCTGCCTTGTGCGGGCCGAGCTGCCCCTGGCCTGGTTTGGACCCCCGGCCCCCGCGGTGCCCCCCAGYGCCCGCCGCAAGTCCCCCGATGGGCTGGAGCCTGAGGCCGCGGGCGAGAGCCAGCAGGCTGAGCTCTACTACACCCTCCACGCCCCCGATGCGGCGGGCGGCTGCGGGGGCTCACGGCGGGCACCTGGGCAGGGGATGGGAGCGCGCGCTGAAAGCCCCACGCAGCACCCCTTGCTGCGCATCGGGAGCATCAGCCTCTTCCRCCCGCCACCCCGGAGGGCGCTGCAGGAGCACAGGCTGGACAGCAACCTGATGATCCGCCTGCCCGACAGGCCGCTCAAGCCGGGGGAGGTACTGAGCATTCTCCTCTACCTGGCCCCCAACTCCTCCTCGCCCTCCAGCCCCAGCGTGGAGCATTTCACACTCAGGTAACAGAGCTGTGGGTCAGGGGTCTGGCTTCCCTTCCAAGGTCCAGTAGATCCCGGACACCTTGTCCAGGTCCCAGCTGATCCCTGTCCAGCATCCTAATCTCAGCTCTCCCATCTATGGCAGGAGACAGTGAACTTAGGTGAGCCCCCATGTTCTTAACCCTTCTGATGGCAACCAAAACCTCTGCCTCTCCTTTATCTCAATGGAGTTACTGTCACAGTCAAAGGCATATATGGCCAGTTTTCACACATGTAGAGGCCCAGAATGGCAGGATGGGGCTGCAAGGGCCCTGGAGCATCCGATATCCAACTCACCCACTTTACAGATGAGGAAACAAAGGCTAGAGAGGAGACAGAGATCAGAAAGCACCCCCTTGGATGGTAGCCATAAGACCAACAACAGGTGTATGTGCCTGTTGGGACATTGGTCTCAGTCCTGGGGTTGAGAGAAGAATTTTTTGAGACTCCCGCTTTTTCTACACTTTCAGAAGAACTCAGCTCATGAATTMAAAAATGCTTAGATCATATCACATCCCCCACAAAACATACGATGCTTCCCAGTAGGAATGCATGGTTTGAGTCATGGTGGGCAATTCTGACATAAAATAGGCCCCACATGAGCCATATGTACCTATGTGGTGCCAGAGACCCAGACCCTTAAGTCTAGGACTCAGGGTCTCTTAGCTCCCCTGTTCCCCCACCCCAACTCCAGCCTAGAGGTGGTGGCCAGGCACCCAGACTTTGGGTCCCAGCCTGACCCTCTCCCTCCTCTGCTTCGCTCTTTGTTCCAGGGTGAAGGCCAAAAAGGGTGTGACCCTTCTAGGTACCAAGTCACGAAGTGTCCAGTGGCATGTGACCTCAGAGCTGCTGACAGGGGCAAAGCACTCAACRGCCACTGTGGATGTGGCCTGGGCCCAGGGCACTCCCCTGCCCCCCTGGTGAGCCCTACCTCTTCGCAGAGCAGGCGCCTAGAGGGGTGGGGGGTCCTCAATGGCAAGGCTGGGCTTGTGAAGGGCTGGGACCTGGTTGATGGGAAATCTGAGGTCTGGACCCCAACGTGGGACCCTGGGGCCAGGTTACCTCGAGAGGCTGAAGAGGCCCAGGGCCATAGAAGGCGGCTGCTGAGGAGGGATGGGGTCCCCTCTGAGCGTTTCAGAGCTGCCTGGCTTCTCCTGGTCTTCATCCTCTGTCCCCCCTTCTTTCCCTCCCTGGCAGGGAGGGCCAGGGCCCCCTGGAGATTCTACAGCTAGACTTTGAGATGGAGAACTTCACCAGCCATTCGGTCAAGCGGAGAATCATGTGGCACATCGACTACCGTGGCCAYGGTGCCCTACCTGACCTGGAGCGGGCAGTCACCGAGCTGACGGTCATCCAGCGGGATGTGCAAGCCATTCTGCCCCTAGCAATGGTGAGTGKCCAGGYGACCAGGCCAGTGGCTGCCTATGTCTCTGGGGGGCGGGGAGGAGTGAGCCTGGCTGAGTACGTGTGTGCTTGTAGGTGCCCACAGAGGGGACTACGCAGGAGACTGCCTCCACCCTCCCAATGGGCACTCCTGGAGGGTGGGCAGTCACCTTGTAGAGGCTGCTCAGGGGAGGTTTCCTGGAGGAGGTAGCCATGCAGGGGAGTGGGAGGAAGGTCAGGTAAGGGGAAGGGCTCTCACTGTCACGGAAGATGAGCAGGGTGCCTTGGACAGGTGGACAGAGATACAGCAGTGGGGATGTGAGTAGTTTCTCCAAAGGAAGCCATGGCTTTAAAAGGAGTGTGGGGTAGAATGGCCATGTGGGACCAGCCCAGGGCACCTTGAGGAGCCAGGTGAATGCGTTAGCTGTGACTCTGAGCATCCTGATGGTGAGGCCCACACAGGCTAAGGCTGGGGAGCAGAGTGAGGCCTAGGTGAGGCTCCACAGCTGTTCACGTGGACAGACCCTCCGAGAAGAAGCGTGAGTCTGGGTGGTAGCTTATCCCCGCACACGGGTGCCAGTGTCCCCATGGGAAGGGTACGCCTCTGAAGAGTGGTAGCAGCCAGGGTCCAGGGTCTCGGTAGACATATCCCTGGAGAGAAAGGGACTACAAACAGATACCCTCTCCTCCACTCCTCCCTCAGGATACGGAGATCATCAACACAGCCATCTTGACGGGCAGGACCGTGGCCATCCCTGTGAAAGTCATCGCCATCGAAGTGACAGGCCTTGTGCTAGATGTCTCCACCCTCGTGGACTGCGAGTCTGACAACGAGGACATCATCAAGGTGGGCTTCCTGGAGGCGGGTCCTCTAGATGAAGATGGTGTTGGACCCTCTGGGGGAGTGGACCCCCAAACCAGAGTCGAGGTGGCTTATCTCAATCATCCTTAAAAACWGCACTCAGAACCTCCCCTTCCCTCCCACAGCACCAGGCTCGTGCATCCTGAGTGGCCGCGTGCCTGTCTGAAACGGTCCATCCCCAAGTCTCTTCTCCCTAGGGAGCTTCCCTCCCTTAGACCTGCTCTGCCCCAAGTCCTCCTCAGCCCAGAACACAGGACACTCTCCTCATGTGGGTGGCCACTTTGCCTCCTCCCTATTTGCAGAGGTGAGATGGGGCAGAGAAGGAGCATGGGGCCAGAGCTGTCCAGCCCTGGAAGGAAGCTTGGAGGAGGGCAGGAGAGGGAGGCAGGGGTCCTCTCTGCCCACCTGGGCTACCTCGTGCCCACTCTTCCCATGCCTTGCCTCTGGATCCCACTGAGAGTGGAGAACCTGGTGCTGCCCTCATCCGCCCTGACCCTGGCRGAAGGCTCTCAGGGGAGTCAGAGCAGAGGCTCTGTGCCACACCCCCTGGCCCTTGGCAGCCGCTTGGAAGCCTTGCCCAGGGCCATGGGGGCTCTTCACTGCTGGCTGGCTGCAAAACTGTTCAAGACACCTGCTCCCTGAAGCCCTCACCTGGCGCYTTTTCTGTTGCCCAGATTTCCCTACCCGAGTGATAGCTGTAGAGACTGAGGGGAATCATCAAGGCTTCTAAGTGGGATTTGTGATGARCCTCCATGCGATGCTCCCAGGTTCTTTATGGGCCTGGCCAGCATTCYAAGTGGAATCTGCCGGGCTGCAGATGGCATCTCTGCCTGCCCAGGTGGGAAATGAGCATTTCTGGCAGGGCTACTGTCCCCACTTTCCCCCCATGCACCCTCTGAGATGATTAAGGGACCTGGGAAGGTCCAGGGGCTCATTTCCATGAGCCACAGTCCCAGAACCCTCCCCGCCCCCACTGCAGAGACTCTGGGGATCCTCCGCCCCATTGAGGTAGTGCATTCAGGGCATGTGCCAGCAGGAGCGCCTGGGTACCACGCACGTAGGAGCCACTGGAGCATGTGCCAGGGGTGTGCGTGGGCACACCGAGCACACACACCCATCTGTGTACGTCCTGAAGTCCTGGCAGTGACCTCTCTGTGAGTGGGCACTGGTCTCYAGGAAGATGTGCTCAGGAGGCAGCCAGTTGCCATCCAAGGAATCTCTAGGAATGCAGGTGGCTACCCAGGGGGGCATGCATTTGCCAAAGCCTCCCCTACTGGTGGCAAACATCCAGGAGTCTGCATTTGGGCATCTGATGCYCCCTCCCCGGCTTCCTCGCCTCCACACCTGGTTAGTGCAGCCCCCTCACCTGAAATTACCCAGATGCCCCTTCTCCTGGGGCAGCACAGAGGAGGCGTGGACCTGCCCCTCACCACGATCCCCTCCGCCTCAACTTCCTCCTGCCAGACACCTGACTCCTGAGCTATCCATCATCAAGGACCCTGTGAGGCCCTGCAACCTGGGGCCTCCTCACCGKGTGGTTCCGTCAGGTCAGAACCAGYCCCTACAGAAACACCTGCAGGCTGGCGCCACCAAGGACCAGTGGGCACAGAGTCGGGCTTTCCTAGAAAAACAGGGTGGAAACGCATCTCCCAGGGGAATCAGCGCCTTCTCCCACCTGGTGGCCCCTCTCTCTCCAGCAGGCCTCCTGCCCTCGCTTGCCACGCACATGTCCCCCACACCGCCCTGCAGGAAGACCTGCGGGGCAAGGCACATGGCCGGCTCCTCCTCTCCCCAGGTTTCCAGCAGCTGTGACTATGTATTTGTGAGCGGAAAGGAGTCTCGAGGGTCCATGAACGCCAGGGTCACCTTCCGCTACGACGTCCTCAGCGCCCCCCTGGAAATGACAGTCTGGGTCCCCAAGCTGCCTCTGCACATCGAGCTCTCGGATGCTCGCCTCAGCCAAGTGAAGGGCTGGAGGGTACCTATCCTCCCCGACCGCAGGTACAGCCCCTCGCACACACAGGACACTTGGGACACTCACAGGTGGATACAGCCTCCTCAGAGGCCGAGCTGCAGATGTGTATAAGGCCCCGGGGAAACCCGTTCTGTGGGTCAGCTGTGCAATCAACAAACTTATGGAACAGCTACTGTGTGGTAGGTACGACTGACCAGTGTTTCAGATGTGGAGCCAGAGAGCTGACCCTGCCAAGCTCTCCGTCCAGCAGAGAAGGCAGTCACCAGTGTGCCACAGAACACGATGGTGCACGGGATGCCCTGTGCACAGGGTGTCAAGCCAAAGCAGGCTTCCTAGAAGAATTGACCCTTGAATTAAATCTTTTTTTTTTTTTTTTTTTTTTTTTTTGGTACTGAGGATTGAACCCAGGGGCACTTTCCCAGAGAGCCAAATCCCCAGCCCTTTTTATTTTTTTATTTTGAGACAGGGTCTCACTAAGTTGCTTTGCTTTCAGCCTCACTAAGTTGTGGAGGCTGGTCTCAAACTTGCAATCCTCCTGCCTCAGCCTCCCCAGCTGCTGGGATTACAGGTGTGTGCTTGAGTTAAATCTTAAAGGATGAGTAGAAAGGAGACAGGGTAAGAGAGCAGCCAGATAGATCCAGTGGAGCAGATGTGCCATCATAGGAACACAAGTGCCTGGGCACAGCTGCCCCTACCTGGGCACACTGAGGGCAGACTCCTGAGCACATGAACACGGGCACCGTGACACACACTCCGCCTCCTTGCRGTGATGCAGGCTCATGCACCTGAGTGCCCATCTGCAGGGCATCGACATGTGTCCTCACCATGCTCCACCCACCCACTCTCTCAGAGCTACAGCAGAGAAGGGCCCAGCAAGGAAGAGAAGCAAGGRAAGTAGCAGGCATCTGGGGGTGGGGTGGAGAAAGAAGCAGGTGGCCAAGAGAGAACAGGGCTGAGTTCAGTTCCACAGAGATTTGCAAAAGCAAGGTTGTGCAGACCAGGGCCTCTGAAACCTGAGTGAACCAGGGCATCCTGCTAAAATGCAGCTTCTAATGGGGAAGGTCTGGAGGAGCTGGGATTCTGCATTTCTGACCATCTACCAAGTGATGGGGATGCTGCTTTGAGTYGTGAGGATAGAACAAACTCTGCAGTCTGGCTTAAATCCTGACTCAGTACTAGCTGTGCAAASTTGGGCYATTCACCTAACCTCTCTGTGCCTCATTTTTCTTACCTGTAAAATAAGCAAGATAATACTTCTCATGGGATTGTGGTGAGGATTAAATTAGTCAACACAGATGAAAGAGCCCTTTGTGTGAATGAATATTTGGGCTGGTTGATACTGACAAAGCTCTCGCAAGCTTTCTCTCTGGAGCGTGCCTTCCTGGCAGGGAATCTACTGATGTGAGCATCTTTTCCAACCTGCTAGGTTGAGAATTCCCCAAGTCATCAGATCCCAGAATTCCCTTTTGCTTAACAGTTTGTCAATTTGTCTCTCTCCTCTCACCTTTTACTAAAAGCAGTGAGGGGAAGCTGGGCTGCCCCCTTCCAGACCTTGCTTGGAATTCTCCTCCGTTCAATTTCCAAGTTCATTGTCTGCAAGTTGTGCGTGATTCAGCTAGGCCTTCTGGCACTCTCTAACCGGGAGCCCCTTTTCTCCAGTTTGGAGCTGAGCACAGAACCAGGCTCATGCTTAGTGCTAAAGAAGGCAGGAGTCATCATTGGGATCTATGCCAACTATGCCGAGGCTTGGGTTAGAGAAAGGTCGGGGCTCCTGGCACAAACCTAGAGATGGAGGCACGAGCCAGGAGGAGGTTTGCAGAGCCTCCACCCATGGGCAGCTGGAAGGACCAGCAGGGCAAGGATGAGGGCAGGGACTTGTGCAGGTCAGAGCTAGGATGAAGCGCCCTCAGCCCAGCCAGCCATGACCTTGGCGCATTCCCCACCCCAGGTCAGCCCGGGAAAGTGAAGACGAGGATGAGGAGGAAGAGGAGCGGCGGCAGAGCGTGAGCCGGGGCTGTACCCTACAGTACCAGCATGCCACCCTGCAGGTCTTCACCCAGTTCCACACAACGTCGTCTGAGGGCACTGACCAGGTGGTCACCATGCTGGGCCCAGACTGGTTGGTGGAGGTCACGGATTTGGTCAGTGACTTCATGCGGGTAGGCGACCCCCGAGTGGCACACATGGTGGACAGTAGCACGCTGGCTGGACTGGAGCCAGGCACCACCCCCTTTAAGGTAGGCCTGAGCTGGGTGAGCACAAAGGGGTCTGGTTTACCTGTGGGTGGAGAGCTCAGAGCCCCTGGGAGCAACCCCAACTGGCCCCAGGGCCCACTTCCTTCCCACCTGTCACTCTGCCTGAAGTTATACCACTGAAGGTCAAGTTCTTCAGGCTTCATCTTGGCAAAGGTCCTCACTGCATGAGGCATCAACCATTGACCAGCCTCCCACAGGGAGGGGGACTGTGTGCAGGTGGAGAGGGGCTGTGGGAGCAGGGGAGAGCCGCTCCAGAAACTCAGCTTGGACCTTGCTCCCTGATCATTCAGTGTCTGGGTAGAGCTCATGGATCTGAGAGATTATAAATAGGGACTCAGGGGCTGGCATCTGCCTGCAGTCATATTTGGTTTAGAAAAAACGGTTGGTGCAACATTTCAAAATTGAGAGGTTTTCTCATTTCAAAAAAAACAGTCTAGATTTCTGGTTTTTACAAAAAAAAAATGAATCTGGCAAGACTGAGCCTACATCCACCTGGCCGGGATCAGCAGGACTCAATGAGTTTCCCCTTCCGTGAGCATGAGTTCTCCCACTTGCCACCGTCCCCACTTCTCCTGTTTGTCTCCCCGACATTGAGGCCAAACATCAGTTACTGTTTATCACCRTGTGAGGGTTATTGTCCTCAAAATCAGCTCCCCCCTCTCATCCGGGTTCCTGACTGGCTCCTGTGAGCCCCCCACCCTCTTGTGACCCCTGGACCTTGGTTCCTGCTTGCAGGCCTAAGGCAGAGCCAGGAGTCTGCCTCCCTGCCTCCCTGCCCACCCCATCGCTCTGGGCTCTTCTTCTGGCAGCGTGGGGCATCCTTCCTGAGGAGACCCTGGGTGGGGCTGCTGCCTTCCTGGCTCTCCCCCACCCCCATCCTGCTCTGCCTCAGGTGGTGTCCCCACTGACGGAGGCGGTGCTAGGGGAGACGCTGCTGACAGTGACAGAGGAGAAGGTCAGCATCACACAGCTGCAGGCCCAGGTGGTGGCCAGCCTGACCCTCTCCCTGCGGCCCAGCCCCGGAAGCAGCCACACCATCCTGGCCACCACAGCCGCACAGCAGACCCTCACCTTCCCCAAGCAGGTAGCTGGCCGCCTGGCCTGCCAGCCAGGGGGTCTGGGGGCGTGGAGGGAGGGCTTAGGGGCTCTGTCTTTCCTTTACACCATGAGTCCCCTAGTCAGGTCTTCAGGTGACGGAAGCTCTCTCTGCCCTCAGAACCCCTCGGTGTCTGCCCTGTCCCCTCCCCCTGCCCTGCACAGGGGTCTGGCCAGCTTCTCCTGCACTTGCCACCTGAGATCTTCCTGTGGACAGGCGACAGGCGGGAGCACAGAGGGGGTGAGGAGGTGGGCTTCAAGCATGGAGCCAGGAGTCAAGACGCAGGGGTCCTCCACCCCCAGGGCTCTTCGTATGACCCAGGGCCATTGCTTCTCTTTGGGCTCTGCTTGCTCCTCTGCAGGAAGAGGGATTCTCAGAAGTTAAGACTGACCAAGGAGGAGGCTAGGGGCGTGTGTTATCATGAGCCAAGGGTCTGATGGGGGAATCTTCAAGGTCAGGAATGCAGATATGGGCTACTCCCGCAGCATAAGAGCAGAACTGAAGGCGGAATTTGCCTTGGGTTCAAGAGGACAGAAGCAGTCTCTGGGGTAGCCCAGGCTGGATGCCATGATGCCTTTCACCCCTCCACACACACACACACACACAACCTGGGAGACTTGTGCCTGCCACKTGCCAGGTGTGGTTTCTACTGGGAAGGTAGAAGGGGGCCAGAGACCCTTGATCCTTGTCCTTATGGCCATCGGGACCTAGTGGGGCAGTCTCTCACTCCTGTCCCCTTCTCCTCTGCAGGAAGCCCTCCTGAGCCTCTGGCTCTCCTATAGTGATGGCACCACGGCCCCACTCTCCCTTTACAGCCCACGGGACTACGGGCTRCTGGTGAGCAGCCTGGATGAGCGAGTGGCCACCGTCACTCAGGACCGGGCCTTCCCGCTGGTGGTAGCTGAGGCCGAGGGGGCCGGGGAGCTGCTCCGCGCCGAGCTCACGATTGCCGAGAGCTGCCAGAAAACCAAGCGCAAGAGCGTGCTGGCCACGACCCCCGTGGGCCTGCGAGTGCACTTCGGGAGGGACGAAGAGGATCCCACTTACGACTACCCAGGCCCYAGCCAGCCGGGACCCGGCGGGGGCGAGGACGAGGCCCGGGGAGCCGGTCCTCCAGGCACAGGGGGCCCTGCGCTGGCGGCCCCTGGACTGGGCACCTCCGCGGTGCCACCCACAGAGGACTTCTTGCCGCTGCCCACGGGCTTCCTGCAGATGCCCCGGGGTCTGACCGATCTGGAGATCGGCATGTATGCACTGCTGGGCGTCTTCTGCCTCGCCATCCTCGTCTTTCTCATCAACTGCATCGTCTTCGTGCTGCGCTACCGACACAAGCGCATCCCGCCCGAGGGCCAGACCAGCATGGACCACTCTCACCACTGGGTGTTCCTGGGCAACGGGCAGCCGCTTCGGGTGCAAGGGGAGCTCTCGCCGCCYGCCGGCAACCCCCTGGAGACCGTGCCCGCCTGCTGCCACGGGGACCACCACAGTAGYGGCAGCTCCCAGACCAGCGTCCAGAGCCAGGTGCACGGACGCGGCGACGGCTCCTCGGGCGGCTCCACCCGGGACCAGGCCGAGGACCCCGCCAGCTCTCCCACCTCCAAGCGCAAGCGGGTCAAGTTCACCACGTTCACTACGCTGCCCTCGGAGGAGCTGGCCTATGACTCTGTGCCAGCCGGCGAAGAGGACGAGGAGGATGAAGAGGACCTGGGTTGGGGCTGCCCCGACGTGGCGGGCGCCAAGCGGGCCACTCCGCCCCCGGACCTGCACAATTACATGCGCAGAATCAAAGAGATTGCTTAGAGGCGCCATCCCGGGTGGCAAGGATGACCCCCCACACCGGCTGCTTGGGTGGGACCAGCGGGGACCCGGGTTCACACCGCAGGGCGGGCGCGTGGGTTTTATACTCCCCGCCCCGGCAGCTTTGCTTGGAGGAACTTGGATGGCTCCCTATTCTGGCCCCTCCGCCTCCCAGTGTCACCCTCTCCTGCCGCCTGGGGGTGGAGGGCCTCTTCCTCCAGTGGCTTGCAAGGAGGGAAGCAGGCAGGGCTCCATCCTGTCCTTTCCAGCCTCTGCCGGTCTAGGCAGCCTGCCTGCCCCAGGAGTGAGGCCCTGAGGTCCAGCATGGGGAGGTGGGCCCACACTGTGCCCGGTCCTGTCTCCTGCTCCCCTGTCCTCCCCCTGTGCCAGGGGGACCTGGGGAATCTTGTGTCACAGACTGCACAAAGACTTTTCTTAAACCAATATTCAGGGATTTCTGTCCTGCAGGGTGGGGAGGCAGCGGCTGCCTGCCTTGCCAAGGATCTGGCTGCAGACAACATTTGGGGGTCGGTGGACAGTCGTGGCATCTGCTGGCTTCCAGGTGCCTCCCAGGGCCTAGAGCTGACTCGACAGTGGGGTCTGGTGCCAAGCCAGCACCTTCTGGGTCCTCCTCAGGACTCCCTCCTGCCCCCCACCAAGGGCTGTGGGCAGGGGGGCCCCAAGCGGGAGGAGTCCCCAGTCCTCTCTCTGGCCAAACCATACCCCAGAGCACTGTGGCCAGCAGGGCCCAGGGAGGCCTAGGTGCCTCCTGCCTCCCCCACTGCAAGGTCAACCCGACTGCGCCTTAGCCGCCTCCGCTCTGCTCACCACCCCTTCCCTCTGCACCGCAGGGCAGGCAGCCACACCACCACCCGCCCCCCAGGAGGAAATCCCTGCAGGGGGAGAAGAGGACCCAGGGAGCACTGTGGGGGGCCTCCCCTGCCCCATCCCACAGCCACTTTTCTCTTGGGTTCTACCCACCACTGTGTTGGATTTTTTTTCATAAATAAATGGAGGCCATTGGACTGGGGGTGGGAGCCGCAACTCCCAGCAAACAGACATGGTGGCTGGTTCCATGGTGCCTGGTTCTGTCTCTTGCTCGTGTGCATGGACACACATGCACATATGCACGCATACACCGTGCGCGCACACCACATGACACRAGGCCACACTGGCTGGCCCCTGCATGCAGGTCCCTTAGGCCCTCGGATGCCCCGTGGATGCCCACATCAAAGGACAAAGGATCCACAAACTGGCAAGTGTGCCTGACGAAGAGGTGGCTTCTAGGCATGTGCCAGGATTGGCTCTGAGAYGGGAAGGGCCAGCTGAGGGTGGGAGGCCACGGAAGAACAAGAGAGGGGAGAGGGTTGGGGTGCTTCCCCGAGTRCTCTCCACTGCCTCATGGAAACCTCCCGTCCCTTCCATGTGGCATTGTTATGGAAATTCTTAGGGTTTCCATGGTAGGATAAGGCATGTTGGGTGTCCCCTTGTCCCACCAATGAACCATGGTTGACTCACAGACCCTTATACCCAGAGACCACCCCCACATACACACAGGCAGCAACTGCAAGCAAGGGACAGGGTACAGAAGCTGCAGGMAGGCAGGGGGAGACTGGCCCAGCTTTCTATGCCCATGGACAGGTGAGTACAGCAACCATCTTGGAGGAAGAATAGCCATCAACCCCCCCAGAAAGGACCAGCAGCATTCTGCCCCCAAACATGCCCTTGCCCACCAAGTGGAGATGCTGGTTTCCATGACTCCACCCCAGCAGAGCCGGAGCGGGGGGTGTTGTGAGGACTCCATGAGGTGGTAATGTGTAAAGTGTCCTATATGGCACCCAGCAGCAGACAGGATGCCAGGGCAGACCACTGCACAGAGAGGGTCTCAAGGAAGGGTCCTGGCCACAACCAGTTCTGAGCTTCCAGGCAAGGCATGGGTTTGAGAGGAAGATCAGGAACGGATGATTTTGCAACAAGGATCCAATGGGCTCTGCAGCAAGGGGGTAGCTGCTGAAGAGCTGTGTGCAGGGCAGAACCCCAGGGGTTCACCTGTGGGCTCTCCTAGAGTTCCAGGAGCACCAGACCCCCCACTGTTCAAATCCACCCTGATGTGAGCTCCTGGTGAACCTCCACCAATGTGTGCTGACTAAATTAAAGCCCATTACAGACCATGGATGGCCTTGGTATCATCCCAGGTTTGGGATTTTGCAGACTCTACTATCTAATTAGTTTAGAAAATCATAAGTGATCCAAGTCATTCCCTTGAGACTCTCATTAGGGAGAGAGATCAGGACAGGTGTGACTTGAGGAGGAACACCCCAGGTTGCCTGGTGGGGAGGCTGCGGGCGTTAAGCTCGGAGCCATTTGTTCATTCAACATATTAGTCTCTTGTTATGTGCTGGGCCCTGCTGGGGGAGTCTGGGAAGCCCTGTGCACCTGTCTTCAAGGAGCCCTCACAGAGAAGACAGGTAAGACAGTTGCCCATTATCACCTGGATGCCCTGGGGTGGTGGGGCTCCCCCTAAGCCTGGAACATGAGCCCCTGGCAGTAAGAAAACACAAGAGCATTTGTGCAAACATGAGGGGACTACAGAAGGTGTGGTGGTGCAGACCTGTAATCCCGMGACTCGGGAGGCCAAGGCGGGAGGATGGCAAGTTCGAGGTTAGCCCCAGCAACTTCGAGGCCCTAAGCCACTTTACAAGGACTTGTGTCAAAATCAAAAATAAAAAGAACTGGGGATGTAGTTCCGTGGCAAAGCATCCCTGGGTTCTGTTCCCAGTACCAAAAAGAGAGAAGGAGAGAGAGAAGGTGTGGTGGGCCCAGCATGAATCTGGGAATCAGGCTCAGGCTTGAGGTCCAGCTACAGGGAAGTATCCCTGTCCCTGAGGGAAGGAACACAGGACGGCAGGAGCCAGGGTGCTCGCTAGGAGGGTGCTGCAGAAGGCATTCGGGCCATGAACCCAGGCAGCAGGAACAGGGCTGGTGCATACAGTGGTACTCAACAGGAGAATTTGCCCAGGGTTTATCCCAGGTGGAGATGCCAGGAGGAGAGAAGACCTGCCACCTCCTTGACAAATGAGTTTCAGAGGCCAGGCCACTGCCAGAGGGAAGCGTTTGGCAGCTTCTGTGCCTTCGCCAACCAGAGACGAGGGCCCAGAGAGGRAAAGCCTTTGGCYGAAAGTCACACAGCACACCTTAGATAACATGGCCAGCGACATGCATGCTGCCTTGTCCTGTAATCTGTGTCCCTTTCTCTTCATCCCTCCCTCTGGGTCCACATGCAAGAACTCAGGAGCAATTGCTAGAAACAGCGATGCCTTGACCCCGGCCAAGTTCAAGCAGGAGCGGGCTTGGCGGGAATGAGGGGGGACATTAAGTTAACAGCCCCTCTGGAATGGCCCTGGCACTGAACTCCTCTTTAAAAATTTGTCTTCAACTCTGAAAACGAATCAAGGGACCTTGTAAAGAACAGTTATTGACAGACAGCTGCTCGGGGAACACCAGGAACCGGGTCTATGAATCAGCTCGCTGCAAAATGAGTTCTCCGACAGCCGGAGCGGGGAAGGCAGGGCCGAGGGAGGGAGCGGCCACCAGAATCATCGCCTCCACCTGTGCCACCCTGGGCCAGGGTCCCCACCTCTGTCTTGATGAACTGAACACTTACCATGTACCAGGCACAGTGTCACCCTTAAGAAATGACTTCTGGGGCAGGGAGACAGATAGGATTACAAATACAGTAGATGGGCCAGAGAAGGAAACTCTTACTTCCCAAGTCAGGTTGTCAGGGGCTTCTGGAATCTGACAGTGTATTTGCTGTGTGACCTCCAGCTATTACATCACCAACTCTGAGCTCTCATTTCCCCATCTGGAAAACACAGAAATCACCACGACTAGATAATATCCACTGACTTTCCTTCAAAAGCCCCACTGTTTCCATACTTGTATTTCTAACCAAGAGTCTAGGGACATAGGGATGTCTACTCCTATATCATAGATGAGGACACACAGGCACAGAGAGGGCAAGGAATTTGCCCAAGGTCTCCAGCTTAGACATGACCTGGCCCACCTACTCTCTACTGCATTCTGAGGCAACCGATGACATTGTCAAGTGAAGGGGGCTGAGGTTGGAGAAGTTTGCCTTGGGGGGAGATTAGAGAAGTGTCCTAAGGATTGGATGTGCCCTGCGCTGGGGGCCAGGCTGCAAGACCCCAATTAAGGTACAGATGGTAGATAATGCTTGGGGCAGATGGAGGACAATGGCTCAACCATACACACTGGCCTTTGCCGTGGCTTGAGTGACCCTGGGACCTCATCCCAGCAGACTGTCACAGCAGGCAATCAGGCAGTCCCTCAAAGCAGAGACCCTGCAACATTTTTCTAAGAAGCAGTGGGGCTGGGCTTGTCTGGACAGCTGGCGGCATCAGCAGAGATGCCCAGCATAGGGACTTGGGTGTCAGCCTGCACCTGACCTTCCCCTTGAGGATTCCTGCTGTCCCCTGGGACTTAGCCAGAGAAACTGCAAAGCTGAAGCCATCCAGGCCCCCATCCCTGCCACTTTGGCTCAGTGAGCAATTATTAAACCTTGCCACGGATCCAGGCACAGAGAAAGTAGGAGTGTTACAAAGTCACCAACGTCTACTGAGACCTCACCATCTGCAGACCACTTTGTCTCCGTCCTTTCATGGACTTTCACAACAACCAGTTAAGGTAGAGGCTATCATTAGGCCCGTTTTACAGACGACAACACTGAGGTTCAGAAAAGTTATATGACTTGCCTCAAGYCGCACAGCAAATCCATAGCAGAGCCACGATGCAGAACCAGGCTACATGCCCCCCCCCCAAGTTCCACGATTTTCCCACTGTTCCCCTGGCCCCCCGCAGGGAAGTCTGGGGACTCAGAGAGGTGTTCTGATGTGCTGGCAGAGCACTGGGYTGGGAGTCCAGGGGCTCAGCAGGAATTCTCACTCTGCCTGTGTCTGCTGGTGTGGCCGTGAACCCGACAT